AACCAACAGCTTCAAGTACTGCGTATACACGGCATAAAAGATCGGCAAAGGCCCACGCACCTTCCTCGAGAACAAAAAGCGCCTCGCATTCCCATGATACAGCTTTGTATTACCTGACTTGGTGATTAACCACATCAATAAGCCCAGCGGGGATGTGACCAGGATGAATCATACCCACGTAGTGTGTGCCGATGTAAGCAGAGCAGCGACATCCATGATTGGGCGATCAACACACCATCTGTTGGGGGTTGCGTCCCGGCGTATCAGTGCGTATTTGATGACTGAACCGGGCTGAAGGGGGCTTTTCGTGCGTATAAACTATATGGCTCGTAGTCAGCAATAAAGACAAAAAAGTCTGAAAGAGTAACATGTAGGTCGACCTGTGTCCGCCGTGGCTCGGAAAAGTGTGCCGGGCTATCTGATTGTCCCTGTTGTCAATTTGTCATCCACCCTCTCTTCTATCAGACACAACCACCCTGAGCAGACACAACACCCTCCACTCGGCCGGTTGAATACATGTAAAACAGTGGTTTGAGCCAAGTTAACCCTGGAAAGTACTGGTAAACGTACATGGGTATAATGTGTACAATCCTCCTACAAAAACGCCTCGGGATTCCTATATCTGGAATCCCATGCTTCCATGATGCACATGCAGACTCCATCTCCCCAATGCTGTTACAGTCATCTCCAACAGTAGTTACACCTCCTACACAAAACCACCCGCTTTGCCTTCTACCATATGCCATTGACGAAATCAAAACGCCTCCCTCCACGCTTGCGTGACCATACGCTCCTTGCCATGCCCTTCATGCAGCTGTCGCTGGAATCATGTGTTGTCTATAGGGTGTATGTACGCTATGCCGCTCAATAATGAACAAAAAGTCAAATGTACTCCGGAAACTTAATCGATCGCGATTTTTTCGTCATGTCTTGGGACTCGCCGCACAAAGCGTGGCTGTTGATTTTCAGCGCCAGGATACGCCATGGGAGCAGCCGTTCCATAGGGTTGATGCGGGCGGTCAGCTTCATATGTGGCGACTTGGTCGTAACTGTGTAAGGTAATGTCAGTATTGGGACCAGGCAGTAGAATCGAGTTTGTACTAACCCTGGACGAGCTGGGTAATATTGATACCCAACAACACGTTCCTGGCGCTCCGATCGCTGCGGCAGACGGATGAAATCAGCTTGCTCATAGACTGGAACACGGCCAGCATGCTCTTGTAAGTAGTCTGGCCTTTCGACAGCCACAACTCGCTCGTATCGCCGGGACGGATGATTGACAGGCACAGGGCGTGCGTCAAATTCGCCCGTGTCAACCGGAATTGGGCTCAGCTCATGTCGCCTTGGGAAGTTGTTGGAGAGGCGAACAATCTCTATAAAATCTCCTCGCAAACGGTCCATGGGCTGATTCGTATCCTCATCAAACCGGCTATCATGCCTCACAGTATCCATAGGAACAGCTGGGCGAACATCGGCAGTCCCTCTGACGGTGTAAGAACGACCGGCGGGCTGTGGACGTATAGGCTCTGCCCAATGATGCGGCGTAGGCGCTGAGGGGCCTTCAATGTAGATGGGACGGGCTTCCGACCTACGGACTAGTCCGCTGTCCTCGACATAAACGGGTCTTGCCTCTGACCTAAGGTGCGCCACGCCATCATGGCGTGGAACAATATCCTGGTATGTTGTTAAGCGGTGCAAACTCGAATTAGCAGGTCCGCCGGGCATCCAGTTCTGTTCAGACCGCGGAGGTAGTCTGACGAAGCCTTCCTCACCGCCCGGTGTCCGGTATCCGCGCGCCTCAGTGGGCCTGCTGTAGGAGTCTTCAGCACGATGTGTCATGTATCCCATCGGAGCAGACTCAAACGCGGAGGGATGTTGCTTCGCAGTGAGTCGTGAGGGAGAGGCAGGCTCGATCGACTGTAAAACATGCTCCTTGGGTTCCTGGCTGTGATAGTGACTCGCCCGGTCACCCTGACGGTCAGGATAGGCATGAGACCCAACTATAGGTCCACGTTCATTCTCAACTGCAATCCTGTAAGGGCGTGGCGCCTCTGGAGCATGACTACCGGTGGCAGTAGAGATACGCTGCGCTACATCCGTGTAGCCAGGCCGGCTCACAGCCTCTTGGAACCCGTTGTGGAGGTCGAGGGGAGTTTGAGAATAATATACCCGCTCCTGCGGACTGCGAGCTGTAGAAAGATCAGATCCCAACCGAGTTGGGTATTCGAGGCGTAACGGGCCACGGCTGGTAGACCTACCATTGGCCATTGGAGCTGCAGAAGTTACGGATTCTTCTGGTGCACGTCGTTGACGCTCCACAGCCTCATTCCAAGCCACGTCGCGGGCCGCTTGATAGCGACTGAACCCGCGCTGTGCCCACTTGGCAGCTTTGCGATCTTTCTGTTGAGTCTTCTTGATGGCGCTGCGCTCTGGGTGGGCCACGCGGGGACCATAGTCCCCGCGTGGCTGCTCAGCAACCTGTCGAACCGCAGGGTGGGCGGCAGTTTGGTTCTGTCGTAATTGCGCAGCTCGTATGGAGGGAGGCACCCAGTTCGCCTCCGCTTGGTCTTCATCGTCCGCCACCGAGGTATCAGACGAATCATCCTCGTCGTCATCATCATCATCATCCTCATCGTCGCTCTCAGAATCGGAGATCACGATGACCTCGTACAGAATCTCATCGAGCTGGTCTCGTCCTGTCTCCTCATCTCCTCGCCACTTGACGAGGTAGTCGAGGCAGAGGGACTCGACGGCTTTTCTCGCATTGACCCAAGATGTCTCTTTGAGCAGCTTATCATACCGAGTATGGTTATGGCGGATATGAGCCAATACAGCGAGCTGAACTCGGCGTGACAAGGTTATGTCGGCAGCAAGGCCAACCGGAATAGAGTCTTTGCCCTGTGCGACCCTCGACTGTCTAGGAGTGAGTTTGGGTTGTTGAGCCAGCAATGGTGATGTACCTACCTTGTTAAACGCATGATCCAGAATCATCTGGCGGTCGGTATGAGGAATGCGCGGAAACAGATCTCTTATAGCTGCGTCAGCTTGCTTGGTGATGTCTTCTTGTCTCTCCGGGATGGGTTCAGGAAGGCCCAGCTGAGCACTGGTACCAACCAGCTGATCATCCCCAAGAGTTTTGCGAGCTTCTTCCACAATTGACTCCCGGAAGTGGTGGCCCACACGGTTGAGGTGAAAGCTTAAGGCTGCCGAGAATACACCATTCATTGACTAGAGATTCGTCAGAACCGGAAACGTGGGAAGCTTGTATTATTGACAAACCGTCACGATGAAGATCATAGCATCGCGCTCTCGAGACAGCTCCTTACAGAGAGTCGTCAGGGCGGGGTTCCCAATAGGAACAAATTCCATGCCCGGGGGAGGTTGTCGGTTTTGGGTGAACTGTTCTTGGTTAGTGTCCAGGACGATGCGAGACAGCGAGCGAGCGAGCGAGCCGCATGATCCAGTTACCTCGAATTCGAGCCTCTTCTTTTTGTTCTTGTTCTCGACGGCCTCGTACCATGTCTTGTACTTCTTGCTGAGCTGTGGCTTGTCAGGAATAGCAACCAAACCTGGGGGCAGAGGGGCCGCCCAATCCACAGGATTTCCTTTGCGATCTTTCTTATGCCTGCTCTTGGCATGAGTTCCGGTGGGAGCCGTCGCAACAGCGCCCTTCTTCTTCTTGTCCCTGCCCATGATGACTAGTAGTATCTTATCAGGTTGGCATGGCACTCGCAATAGAACGTTCCTTGGGCAGTCGAAATGCAGCCAAAAAACGCCGTCGAACCAGCCACAATAGAGGTGGAATAGGCTGGGTCAGGCACCAAAGCGACGCTTTTTCTTTACTCAAGAAAGGACAGCGGGGTCTTCACGCAGTGATGACCCAGCTGGTTGCTTGCAAAAGATTAAAAGACGTGCGCGCCGCGAAATGCCGGTGAAAGACAGAAAAGAAAAAATACGACTTGGAAGCGAAAACACCTGCTGGAGAGCGCCGAGGAGATAGATACTGGCGATAGGAGCCAGGCGACAATATCCACAGCCACTGTTGGGTGCTCCGGGAAAACCAGCAGTAGGTTCAGTGGGCGCGCCCTACAATGTCGCCAATGAACTCGAACGCAGGGAGCAACCTGAGCTGAGGAGCAACAAGCAGTAAAGCGCTAGAAATAATTCTCACAGAGGCCGGGCACGATCATGAAAACTCTGCGGCAGCAGTCGCGATGCACCGCTCTTGCTGAGACTGGAGACTGGAGACGGGAGACGGGAGACGGATGGAAGAGAAGGACCGGGAATGGGTGCGTCACCCCTCGAGAGAAATGCAGAAGCGACGGAACCCCTCTGGCGGGATGTGGCTGGGTTGGGCCCCCACAGCCCGCAACGCCACACTAAGATCGGAGCAGCCACAACTCTCTTTGCACTTCACCACTTTGATGGTCGAAGCTGATTGGTCTGGTCCAGATTAAGCGCCCTCCTTATTACTCTGCATCTTGGTGTAATCCAAAGCCTGCGTCCTCAACTCTAGCTCGGATAAACTGCGTGGTGTTTCTTTGAGGACCGGTGAGGACGACAATAGGTGTTTGACCGTGGCGGTTTCTTGTCTGCATTTATAGGCGTCCGCAGTCTTGCATCTCTATCTGGAATAGGGCACTCCTCTCAACCTCTCTTTTTCTTGACAACCTAAGACAACAATCATCGACCACCATTCTCACAATGGCCGACTTTGATCTAGGAGCGTCTTTTATTCCCGCCTTGTACAAGCCGGCAGCCCTGTTGCCTATTGCCAAGCATCGAGAAGCCCTCTTGTACCTGATTGAAACCTCCCCTGTCACTATCGTCGTGGGTCAAACCGGCTCAGGCAAAAGTACTCAGATCCCCCAATTTCTCGAGCAGGCAGGATGGTGTGCTGATGGCAAGATTATCGGAGTGACACAGCCTCGGCGTGTTGCAGCAACCACCGTTGCCATGAGAGTTGCAGAAGAGGTTGGTTGTGAGGTGGGCAAGGAAGTTGGTTTCTCCATTCGCTTTGAGGACCTCACCTCGGCGGCTACCCGGATCAAGTTCATGACTGATGGCCTTCTTATTAGGGAGGCACTGGTCGACCCTCTCTTGTCTCGGTACTCGGTCGTCATGGTCGATGAGGCCCATGAGCGATCCATCAGTTCTGATATCCTCCTCGGGTTACTCAAAAAAGTTCGCAGGAAGAGACCTGAGCTCAGGATTATCATCAGCAGCGCCACGCTCCAAGCCGAAGACTTTCGAGACTTCTTTTCGGAGTCCAACGAAGAAGTACCAAAAGACGACAAAGATGCCGCAAAGGTTGCCTCCATCATCAGCCTCGAGGGCAGAACCTACCCCATCGACATCTTGTACCTGGAGCAACCAGCCGAGGATTACCTCGAGAAGGCTGTTTCAACCGTCTTTGACATTCACGCTGACGAGCCAAAAGGCGACATTCTCGTGTTCCTGACGGGAAGAGACGAGATCGAAAAAGCTGTCCAGGCTGTTGCAGAGCGGTCAGCTCAGCTCCCTCCAGGATCCGATTCCCTCCTGCCCCTACCAATGTATGCCGGTCTATCGACAGAGCAGCAAAATTACATTTTCGAGGAGACCCCAGAGAACTTCAGGAAGGTTATCTTCTCTACCAACATTTCCGAGGCATCTGTGACGATTGACGGAATCGTCTACGTAGTCGATTCTGGGTTCGTCAAGCTGCGCGCCTACAACCCTCAAACTGGCATCGAGAGTCTGACAGCCACGCCAGTCTCGAAGGCATCCGCTGCTCAAAGGTCAGGGCGTGCAGGCCGAACCAAACCTGGAAAGTGCTACAGACTCTACACCGAGGAAGCTTACCAAGCTTTGCCTGACGCCAACGTGCCCGAAATTCAACGCTCGAACCTGGCTCCTTTCGTCCTCCAGCTCAAAGCGCTGGGGATAGATAATGTCCTTCGGTTTGACTTCATCACACCGCCCCCAGCAGAACTGATGGTCAGGGCACTTGAACTGCTCTACTCGCTTGGGGCGCTGGATGAATACTCCAAACTGACAAAACCCTTGGGCCTGAGGATGGCAGAGTTGGCAGTGGAACCCATGATGAGCAAGACCCTCCTCTCGGCACCCTCTTTTGGCTGCTTGAGCGAGATATTGACGATTGCCGCCATGACAAGCGTTGGTGGGACGATATGGATCCAGCATGATGGCGAGAAGAAGAAGACGGAGAGCGCGAAGCGGAAGTTCTCAACCGAGGAAGGAGACCATCTAACCCTCCTGAATGTATACCAGGCCTTTGTGACCAAGGGCCGCAAGGAGGCACGTTTCTGCCACGAAAACATGTTGAATTTCAAGGCAATGTCGCGAGCAGTTAGCATTCGAGCCCAGCTCAAACGTTCTCTAGAGCGATTTGGAGTCGTAGTCGATGAATCGCTTGCGAGCGGTTCCACATCCTCGACCGCTGCTGGCTCGGCCTCCATCAACAAAGCAGAACAGATTCGACGCTGCTTGACCTCGGGCTACTTCGCCCACGCAGCGAGAATGCAGCCAGATGGATCTTTCAAGAATGTGTCTGGGACAACGGTCCTTCATGCTCACCCGAGCTCGATCATGTTTAACCGCAAGGCTGACTGGGTCATCTTTCACGAGGTGATGGAAACCGGCGACAAGACTTATATCAGAGATATCACCAAGGTCGAGAAGAACTGGCTGCTGGAGTACGCTCCCGAGTTTTACAAGACGTCAACTTGATAAGACAGATTGTGGCTTGGGAACGCGAGAACCGAGCGGCGGCATAGGGAAATCGGACCGAGAGGGCCTAAGACATAACAAATCGGAGGTTTGCTCCCGACATATGCAGCGCTCGAGCGGGACGAGCGCCTGCGGTTTATCGGTTTATCCTTCCGGCGCAAGGAAGGGAGGTGAGTGAGAGGCCTACAAATAATGATCTCACTGGATGGAGAGGTGGGCGTCCAAGTCTGGCGCGCCCGTTAAAGGGAGCCAATGCAAGTCATCAGAGCTTCAGCTGAGACAGAATCCCGTGCTTCTTTTTTTCTTTCTTTTTTTACAGTCTCTCTGGAGGTTACACAATTTGGCGGAGGACGATGAAGATTGAGAATGAGTAGCACCACTTGGCAATGGAGATTTAGTTGTGTTCAAGACCACATCCCCTGCTGAGCGGAAGATTGTAGATTTCCTAGAGTCCCTCAAGGCTGAAAAAGAAGGCAATTAGAAGCCAATATCGAACACTCTCTATTCATAGAATACCTCTAAGAAGACCGGACGAACCAAGACCAACCAAAACTGTAGATTGTTTTCGCCCACAATTACATCACGCACATCTCAGGTACCGTGGGCCAGGCCACCAGGCGGCAGAGCCCAGATATGCAGATCATGAATACAACTGCATGCGGCGCATAAAGCTTCTTTTGTGCTGGTTGTTTTATGTTTTGGTTTCCTTGATTACCCTTTCGTCCCTCTCCGGGTCATGACTCGAGCGCGTTCATCTGGCCGTATTCGGTCAGGCGTGTCTCAGGAAGACGGACACATTTACGATAAGCTTCTTCTGGTTCTGCATATGCAGCTAGTCAACGGCCAGCAACTGATGAGAACCAAGGCCGCGATGAAGCAGGCGAAAAAAAGAATTCTTCCTGCCGAAGCCATCCTCATGCAGGTTGACCGTTCGACCCCCACTACCGCACCTTACCGGCCGGTATCACGGTGCCAGCGTTTACGGAGGTGACCACCGGGGAGAGCCGTTCCCCTGAATTCAGGGATCGCTGACACTGGCGTGACGGGCTTTCATCTCGGCAAAGTACCGTTCCACAGTGGTTTATCAGCCCCGGTACCTGTCCGATTCCAGGCGGTGACAGACGGTCGTTGAGTGGGGAGTCTGGCGAAATTAGCGCCATCTGGGTGGGTGCTCCGTTCCTGCATTAGCACGGGCCTGCAACGCTGCCATTGGTCTAGAAGGCCCAGCGGTCCACTTGACATCCCTGTTGGAACTTCACCGTCGTGAACCCAGGCGCCGTCCCCCCTTTTGATTAGGACGAAATTAGCAATTTCTATTCGCCCGCCGCTCTCGCGAGTGCCCACGACAGCGACAGTCCCCAGGAAACCCCCCTTCACGGAGATTTGGGGACCAAGCAGGCAAGCTGAGCTGGCAGACCAGAGGCCTGTTCGTACCGTTGCTTCGTCTCTTCAGGGCCCGACCTTGGCGGCGAGAAGCTCAACCCCCTTCTGCTCTCCGTCCACGTTCGCTCCCAGTCGTAAATTCTAATCCTAATCACCTCACTCTTGGGAAACTTCTCCCTTTCCGCTCTTTTGCACCACCTCACCCGCCCGGACAGAACCTCCTGCTCTGCTCCTCCTTCCCCCCACGGCCAGACGGTCACCACGCTCCTTTTTACTTTTTCAAACCGTCTTGCCTCTAGCAGGCGCGCCATTCTTTTCCCGCCTTGCCTTTTGACTCCCCCCGCCGACGACGATACCTTCCTTACTCGCCGCCGACACCGCTCTTTTATTCAAATTGTTTTGCGCCCTCACGAATTCTTGACGAGCTTCGGATAGATTTTAGAGCCCTTTGCGCCTGTTTGACTGCCTGTTGATACCTTGCGCCAAAAGTGAACCCTTGCCCTGTCGCGCGACTTTTCGCAGACAACACATCCCACGTCGACGTCGACCAGAAACTGGATAACGGCTTTTTTCGGTAAAATTAGAAAGGGAGGAAATATTCACGACCAATTTCTTGTCATCTCGATCCCTACACGAATGTTATGACAACATCTTTCTGCGCAAGCTAGCATTGACGTCTTTCACCACCTCACGCCATTTCTAACGCAGATACCATCTTCTGTTGCCCTATCAACCAGCCCTTTTCACTGCGCTATCCGACCATTCTGGATTTGGAAATTGTCTAGGAAGGGAGGAATACTTGGGTTGTCAAGATGGAGGGAGGATTTTTAGATGGACAGCTTTATCCCATGGGGCCTAGGGTCCCGGGACTGGAGAAGCGCGGCCTCGCCGTGGAGATGCCGACGCCAATTTCTGGAATCAAGTTCCCTCGCGCCGTTTTGGCTGCGAGAGCCGAGGAGACCGACTGCCCGGATCCGCGACTTTGCCAGAAGCCGGTTGGCTCGTCTTCCATGACCTTGCCAATTGTTCTTGGAGTATGGTAAGTAGGATGCTGGGTATGCGCGCTAGAGTGTTGTGCTAACACTCTCTAGCATTCCCTTGGTTGGAGCGATTGGTGTTTTGATTTACCTTCACCGGAGGACGGTCAAAAAGAACAGGGAGGAGGATATGCATGATCCCCACAAGTCCCTGGATTTTGGGTTGGGTGCCGATTTTGCGAAGAAGAACGGCGCCGGTGTGGCCAACAGTGCCGACCCGTCGCGCTTCAACCGTCAAAAGCGCCAGCAAATGTCAATGGACATGAACCTTTCCAGCCCCTATCTTCTCCCGGATGTTGGCCAGTCTCGGGATTCCCTCAACTCTCTGGCCCGCACTCTCAAGGCAAACGATGACCCGTACAGCCGTAGCGATGCTGGTTCGATAAGATCGTTCGCGCACAAGAACGGAGACGCCGCCTCGGTGTACACTCGCGCTGCTAGTCGCTCTGCCAGTCGCCAGGATGGCCCGCTTTCCCCCCCTCAAACAAGGAGTCCTCCACGCCTCGGCAGCATGCCGCCCAACTCGCCCCTTTTCCCCCCATCGCCGAGCCATATGCGCCCACCACAGTCACCCCTTCCTCAGCCACCCAACAAGCCGGCCAACTCGCAAGGGTGGGAAGAGCAAGACATTGGTGTTGCAACGGATGCGCCCATTCTTCAGCAACCGCCCGCTGCCGCTCAAAGGGATGCTCGGAAATCTCCTCTCTCTCCTACTCTCAAGACCAGCGACTCTAGCCTTGATCTCGCTCCTCCAGTTAATCCCTTCGAGAAGCCCGAGGCTCAAGAAATTGACACTCCCACCGAGCCCACTCATGTTGGTCTGGGACTCATGCACGGCGAGCCCGCTCAGGCCTCAGTCAGGACCTCCACTTCGACGGTCAACAGCGAACTCGAGAGCAAAGCGCAACGCGGGCAGCCCGCCCAAGCGCCTGCTGTGATCGAGCCTGAACGCGCCGAGTTCCACGACTTCGACTTCACCGATATGCCCAGGATGCCCCGGTCACCCTCGCCCGAGGGCCGCAAGGAGAACCAACTTGATGCGGACGAGCCCAGAGGCCGTAATATGCAGAGGACGTCACATCTGTATGACCAGCAGGAGGGGGCTGCGAATGGCTTGGGCGTCCCGATGGGCGACAACCGTCGTCTTTCTGTTGGTTTCCGTCCTCTGCCGCCAGACGAGATCACGGAATCCGAGGACCCAGAGTACAGAGCCAACCGCATCAGATCTTTCTACAAGGAGTACTTTGAGGATTCCGCTGCTGACAGACCACCCATGCCACCCATGCCCCAGAACATCCCAGCCCAGCACCAGCAAAAGCGCCCTGGACCGCCCGGGCCACAGAACGGAGGGTACTACGATGACTACGCCGCGGATGCTCCTTACTTTGATCCTGCCTCGAACTCTTTCATCATGCCGTATGCCCAGCCTGTTTCTCGCCGTGCCATGACACCGCCCCCATCCGGACAGAGATTCCCCGGTCCCAGAGGTCCTGGTGGTCCAAGAGGTCCCGGTCCGAGAGGACCGCCCGGCCCGCCCGGCCTCCGCGGTCCTCCCAGACCTGGGTCTTCCGTTTCCAACCAGATCGGCGGTCCCTCCCGCCCGGGATCCAGCATGTCGAACGCCTACGGCCGTCCCCGCGCCGGTTCCACCATGTCCGGTGGCCGTTTCGGTGGTAACGGTGGCAACAGAACGCCCGTTCCTCCCCCGATGGATCTCACCACCCTCCCAACCCCCTCCATGATGAAGGACGACTCGTTTGCCATCCTGAACGCGGCCGACTTCGCTCCTCCCGAGAACTTTGCCTCGCGTGCCCGTGGCAGATCCCAGAGCCCAGCTGGCGAGCGCCGGCCGTATGAGAGGAAGGTCCCAGTGCACTCGCCCTTGGTGAACGCCTTTGATGAGCTCCCCGTTCTCCCCAGCCCGTAAGTTTGATGATCCCTACTTGCATTTTCCCCCGAAAACAATCACTAACAGCTCATCCAGTCACACCCTCCGCAAATCCAGCACCTTTACCGGTCTCGACTTTGCGCCCCCCCGCAAGTTCGTCAACGACAACGACGCCCGCAGCGACGCCGGCTCCATCCGCAGCAACCGCAGCGGCTTGTCGAATGTGCATGCCCAAGCCATCAAGAACGGCGCGGGCCGCATCAGCAAGCTGCCCGGCGACCAGATCTTCACCCCAGACGCCCTAGCTCAGACCTTGAAGCCATCGTGGGGTCTGCGTGACAAGGTGTAAGAAAAAAAGGAGGTATGATGATTTTGGGTTCATGTTTTTCGCATGCTTGCTCTCCAACAAAGGCTGGGACTGCTCCTCATTTGATATGCAAACATTTTCTCCGTTTCAGCAGGTTACTCACCTACGGTTTGTTCCTGTTTCTGGCATATTATCATCGGTGTCACGTCGTTTTTCTCTCTCTCATCCAAAGCATCAATGCGAGTTTATTAGGGTTGGTTTTTGAACTGGTGTAAAAAGGGGCGTGTTTTTGCTGGCTTGAAAATTTTATTTTGCTGTTGGCTATATCTGTTTGTAGTAGAGAGGGAAAGGGAAATCAAGTTCTTTTTTAGACCAAGGTGGAGGTTTACTTTTTGGAGATGGGAGGAAAAGATAGGAAAGAGACTATACTATTGTATGTCTAAATTTTGTTCAAAAAAGCCTTACATATATATAAATTTACCGACAACAACGTATATATTCACACACCTTGTTTTGGATTGAGCATAGTCTTATCGTATACTTGTAATTACTCCTCGTCTCTCAAACAATTACTATTCATACTTTCATACCAACCCAAACTCATCAACACACCCCC